TATATATATATATATATATATATAAACATAACGATAGTATATAATAATGGTAACGAATGTGTTTAACACACAAACAAATGAAAAAAACATTGTTTAACATATCAATAAGGGAAAATAATCTACGTTTAATTCACAAATAATTAAAAATGATCATAATAAGAGGAAATATGTATGTATGTATGTATGTTTGTATGTGTATATATGTTTGTGTATATATGTGTATGTGTATATACGTATATGTGTGTATGTGTATACATATGTACGTATACGAGGTTTTTAAGTCATGTGTTGCAACATAGTGTAAGCAATAACTTTATGTTGTAATATGTTTTATTGACATATTAAGACATTACACGTGAATGTACCTTTCAAAGTATATGTAAGCTATATAATGGCTTTGAGTCCATTCTCACGTTCCGGATAAAAAGTAATTCTTGTTACAAAAGAAACAAATCTATGAGAACTCACCATATTTCCACATCATTCATAAACAATATATAACTAAATCCTATCTAATATATAAGGATTTTTTTGCCCCATGTCATTTTCTCTTTGATTTGGACACATGACAATTTCTAAGCATTTTTGATTTAATGTAATTTCCACATGTAAATTTCTGATTTGTTCCAGTAGATTTGAATTGACAACTCATTGAATTATTTATGGAAAATCAATCTAATAATAATCTGAATAAATGCCATAAATAATGTCTTGATATTTGTTTTCTTTCTAACGGCAAATCTATCAATTCAGTCTATATCTAATCTAATAAATGAAAATCTTTTTGTCATATATCATACTTTTATTGATTTGGCCACATGTCATTTTGAGTTTTTTTTTAATTAAATTTTTTTACATTACATTTTGTGGTTTTTTTATTTTATTAAATTTCACATTATATTTAAATGTAATAATTACAATAAATATAATAATAAATGCATATCGATATCATTAATTGATATTTCTTCTAATTTCAAAATTTCAAAATTCAAGTTTTATTAGATTTCTATTTTTATTTATCTAAATTTCTTAAAATGTTAAGAATTGTATAATTAAATTTTTTTTTTAAATGAACCCATGTAATACATAGGTCTTACACCTAGTAAATTTATACTTGGAATCAGTCTCACCTTTTTCAGAAACTTGGTGAGAATATGTATGCCATATTTTATCCATTTTGTCTTCAATATAAGAATCACTAAGATAAATTTCCTCGTATGAAGTATGCAAAAATTTCCTCGTATGAAGTATGCAACAGAATATTGCCTTGATTTAAAAAGAATAAAAGACATATATTCCTATTTTTTAGTGCAACAATTGAAATAACATAAAGATATTGTTTTGAAAATTGTAATGAACAAATTATGTGTCTTCTATATGTTCGTTCACGCTCGAACAAATACTTGAAAGTAGAATGCTAATTCTAAAATCAATTTCCAAAATTCACAATTTACATATATTAAAAATCTTACTGTCTAAAAGTTATATATATATATATATATATATATATATAT